AAAACAAAATAAAAAGAAAGATGTAAATAATGAAAACTACCTTTTTCGTTTGGACTTAAAGAGAAAAAATGATTTTATTTTCGTCGGACCTAAAACAAATAACGTAGAGCGCACCTCTTTTATTGTCTGTCTCCACCGAAAGTTGTTTTATAAACGACTTTCTGAGGAGATGCAACCCACGTTTCGTCTTAGATGCGACATAAATAGAATTATCTTATCTCTTTTTAATCCACTTAAAAAGTTACTTTCGAAATTTTCATTCCATTATATTTCTTTTGTAAAAAGAGTCATTTGAACTCATATTGCTTTTTGCAGCTACAACTACAAAACACGATCATAACTTAACACTTAGTTTCGATGCTTGCTACTGTAGAACTTCATGGAACTTAGATTTGCATCAGTATTGTCTATTTTATATTTTTTAATCCACTTAAAAAGTTATTTTCGAAATTTTCATTCTATTATATTTCTCTTGTAAAAAGAATCATTCGAACTCATATCGCCTTTTACAACTACAACTACAAAACTCAATCATAACTTCAAGCATAACACTTAGTTTCGATTCTTGTTAATGTAGAAATTCACGGAACTTAGATTTGCATCAGTATTGTCTATTTCATATTGTCAGGAGTGACATGCACGCCATGGCACATCCGAAATTCTGTGTCCAGGCAATTATAGAGAGGGCTAAATAGGACTCTAGTTGCGGTTGTGAGTAACTCAAGTAAATGTTAGGAATGTGGCATGTCATCTCTCAGCTTCAAGTCAGTCTGGGTCAAAAGGAATTCGAAATATTAGCGGGGCGGAAATGAGTGAAACAGCAATGTAGGAAATAAATGTTAAACACTAAATCTCACAGTAGTCACTATGTTTAGAAACATTAATACGTATTCCTACTTTTTCGAATACTACATACATCAAAGTAACACTAAAAATCTATTTATACTTGATTTAAATAGAAAAATGCTAAATTTAAACATTTAAGAGCCCAAGAGAAATCCCATGCTTCATATCACTAAATAATGTTTAGATTTAATTCATATATCTTTAAGTCTTTAAAAGGTAATTGCAGTCTTATCGTTTCTTGAATTCTCATTAGATAGAAAAATCCCATGGTGTATTCCTTAATAAAAAAAGATCCAAATATCGTTGGTAATAATAAGCCTAAAAATAGCAAAAGTTATGTAGATGAATAATTTTAATTTGTAAATTATTCATTTGACCGTTATGTAACTGCATTCACAAGCAAAAACTATTTATTGTGCCTTCTTAATATTATTCTTAGCTATTATTACTTTTTTAATTTTGATTATTATACAAATTTAACAACTTGAAACTAAAAGTGCTGTTTCCGCTAAAGTTGCAGGTCAGAGCTGTGTAGTGCCCTTGACTGATTTATTTCAAATGATATGGAACAATGATGCACTTCCTGAGGAATGGAAAATACACCATATATATGGTACACACATAAAAAAGAAATGGGCTTGACTATGGAAAATTATGGTAAAATTACCGTACAGAATCGTAGAAACATTTCTGATAAAAAATAACTTAATTAAACTTAATCAAAGTATACTGTATTTAAAACATTCATATCGTAACGGTTTAACGCAAAGTCTGGTTTTCAAATTTACAGTTTTTATTACCATATATTTAGTAAAAATACAAAACTGAAAAGTGAAATTAACCAACCAAATGTCTTCATGACATTTTCTAAGGCATGACCAAATTTTTGAAACGAATTTTTGAATGAATTTTTGAAATGACCAAAATTTTGAAACAAAACCAAATTTTAACATGGATCATAAAATTAAATTTATAATTAATTTCCCCAAAACCATTTCCAAGACTCTTCGGTAACCAATTCGGAATTGTATTTGGAAATCTTTAAAAACCCTGATACGTGAAATAACTAAAACTCTAAAGGATGAAATTGGCAACACATCTGGTTACAATGCTAGAAGATCTAAATTGCTGAAAACCATTTCTAGCCAAGCCTATAAGAACAAGACAAAGAGGCAAACCTCGCCTTAAATAGACTATCTCAAAAAAGCCATGCCCATTCTGAAAATCGAAAATTGGAGGAGAGCCGCCAAACAAAGAGATGCTTAGAAGAGACTTTCCGAGAAGGCCAGGGCCCATCCAGGCAATGAAGAACGCATTCCTTTATTAAATTTTACAGTAATCCTATGATATTAACTGATTATTCTACATTGTAGAATAAATCTATTACTTTACTGTTATGAAAGGTAAATAAGTTATACACTGTAATTATGTATCATAATCATGTGTCATCACATTAATTGTTACTTAATGTAATGTGTAGTGTTTTTCTTTTTCAGCGCCAACCTGGGTTGATATATCGTCAATTCAGTTGTATTAGGGCAGAGGTGTTGGCCATTCTTTCAGGGGCATCATATTAGCTGTGAGACGTTGCTCCCACCGTAAGGTCAGATAGTACAGAGTGAATGAAAAACATCCACACCTTGTGAGAGATTCGAATCCGGAACCTTTCTGATGCAAGGCCAGTTCCCTGACCCCTACACAATCCGGTGGGCCAAACTATAATATAAACTATGTAAATTTAATGTAAACCTGTCTATAAAACACAAAAAAAATTGAAACTGAAGTTATAATAATAACCGAGAACATCCGTCCCTTGTCCGAGATTCCAACCCGGAACCTTTCTGATGCAAGGCCAGTTCCCTGATCCGTACACAGTCCGGTCGGCTAAACTATTATGCAAATGATGTAAATTTCATGTAAACCTATGTTTAATGTAAACTTGTCTATAAAATCAAAAAGAAAATTATTGTAAATGAATTTACAATAATAATCCGAGAGCAGTGATTAAGATCAAATTTAATCCCAATAATATCGGAAGCTAAATCTTTATTGGTAGAAAAAATATTCGGGATTTTTTAATTGAATCATTTTAAATTTTGATTTACCAATATGTTTATTGTCAATGATAAGAAAATGATTACTCAGATACTATGGGGTTTGGTGAGCGAAACTGACAAGGAGAGAAGGTAGGGTAAACCGACCAGTGAAGGAACATTTCATATATATTGATTAAAAATAAGAATTTGAAAGTTTTTCTTTAGATTGATTGGTAACAATAGCTTACTGCCAAACAATAGAAAGTCATCTAGCAATGTTTTGGATTACCTGGTGACATAAACTTCTCTGGAAAAATTTTTGAATTTGTTATTATCTCTGCAACACCTTGTTTCTTTGAAAAAATTATAAGGTGAGTGTTTGTATTTATATGTTTGAAGTGGAATTAATTGCATGTAATAGTTTTATTTTTCTCACTGTGAAAAAGAGAATTCAAAATATAGTTATTGAAGTTACGTTTCAGTTTTTTAAGCATCATAGCATAATAAAGTACTGAGATAAGGGGGTGTTTATTCACTGGATCACCAAACGATGAAAAACCAGTGAAGGAACAAGTGTTCATTTACGGTTTTTTCTTCTAAGTTAATGAAGATAAAAATAAACTTTAATTTTCTTGTACCTTTAGTATTGCTTAATTATTTGTTTAGTATTGTATGGCTTAAAAATTCATAAGGAGCATTAAAAAATAACAAAAATTAAGTATTCCTTTACTGGGTGTTCATTCATTGGTAAGAGCTGTTCCTTCGACGCCCGGTGGCTGAGCGGTAGCGCCTCGCGCTGTCGTGCCACTGGTCCCTGGTTCGATCCTCGGATCGGGCAAGGTTGACTCAGCCTTTCATACCTTCAGTGGATCGATAAATTAGTACCGAGCATGCTTTGGAACTAAACACTAGGGGTTTCGCGTTCGGCTGACCACCTAACCGGAACATCTGCTCCTGCACCCCAGAGCCCAAAGATATGACACCCGGTGGCTGAGCGGTAACGCTTCGCGCTGTCGTGCCACAGGTCCCTGGTTCGATCCTCAGGCCGGGCAAGGTTGACTCAGCCTTTTATCCCTTCAGTGGGTCGATAAATGAGTACCAAGCATTCTTGGGAACTAAACACTGGGGGTTCCGCGTTCGGCTGACCACCTGACCGGAACATCTGCTCCTGCACCCCAGAACCCAAGGTCAAGAAAACTGAAATGGGCACACTAGGCCTTGGCCCTCATGGGCTGTCGCGCCGCTGAGTGTAGAGTTTAGCTGTTCCTTCACTTGGTCTTCTTACAATTTGTTATTTGAACCTCCAAAACTTTAAAACAATATTATGTAAGTTCTCTACAATTTTTTACATAGTTTGCAATTAGTAACAAATATGTTGACACTCTCATTTAACTAAAATTACGAATTTTGAAATTAATATGATTTTTTAAAAGGCAAGCGAAGCTTAAGTGTTCCTTCACTGGTTAGTTTACCCTGCCTGTTCCTTTTGCTTACATAAATTTCCTCAGTTTAACTACCGTTCAAAAATATAATACTTAATATCTAATTATTATCTAATTCATCCTTATTTAAGATTATCCTTATTTAAGATCCAGTTTATCCTGATTTAAGAATTATGTAATCAAGCTCTTTTCAAAATTAGCATTCATTTTACGTTTCAGAAACAGAGCCATATAATACGTAAACTTAATATAAAATATTACACATCGGAACGCTAAATTATTTCCCTTCTTTTACAACTTTGACTTGCATAAGAGGGACGTAGTCATTTTAATGATCATTATCCTAATTCCTTTAAAAATATCTACAACAAATTTACAATGCAAAATTTACGTTACATTATCCGTAGAGACAATAGACAATCGTCCATATTAAAATTTTAAAATCTTAATCCGTAAAGTTTGACTGTTCAAAATTTAAATCATATAATAGGAATTGTTTAGCATCGATATTATTAGCCGAATTTTTTCCATTCGGGTTCGCAGTGCAAATGTCAAACAGATTACAGGAAAGTGAATTTCACTTATATTCAGTTGATAATTATAACTTTAGACATTAAGTTATAATTAGCAACGGAGGAAAAAGAAGCAATTTTCCGTATCATTCGATAGCAATAGCTATCTACTAATGTGTTTGCTGTTTATTTTTATCCCATTTACCTGAGCACTGCTAATTCATTAGGAAAGTGTCAGCACACTAAATACCTATCTCCTGTCTCAGCTTACAAATCACAAAATTCTTCGAAGAATCGTAAGTTATTTCAGTAATATTTTTTCCAGTGTAATTTATCAATGGATTAATGATTTAAAAGAAAAATAACATAATTTATTATTTTTCTTACATATAACCCTTAAAAAAAGTTTTATAACAACATTTAAAAACATTTTGTGTATTTCATATTTTATATATTTTTAACTAATAAGTGATAAGCCAGGCAAATAATTTATAGGAAATCAGAATTATGAACGCTTGCTCTTTTTTCATAAAAATAACCTAATTTTAGATATGTATTTCTCGATGGAATCTGAAAGTTTGAAACTTCACTTAACGGTGATATTTCAAATTTTGAATTTATGCAAAATTATATTATTTACAGGAAGTAAAGGTTTTTATACACATAAATAAACAATTTCTTGATAGTTATAGAATTATGTAGTTAAAAAAACAGAAATGGCTCAGTGGTTAAAGATACTATACTGCCATTGTGAAGAGCTGTAGTTCGAACCACAGCGGCGGCTTGAAGAAAACCCAGCTTCAGATTAATTGGCAACAGCTTGTCATGAAAGTATAGGTGGCTTGTAAACACACGCCACATATACTTTCATGACAAGCTATTACATTACCAAAGGTTGTTCATAAAATTCTGGTGACTTTCCTCAGTTTACAATGGGATGTTGTGGAATTTGTTTTTTATATCATTATTAATTAACATCATTATTAAGAATGATATTAATTATTAATTCATAATTATTACTATCATTGCTTAGTACTTATATTAATAAATATATATATTTTCTATATCATTATTAATTAATGATATAAAAATTCAATATAAAAATTAAAAGATCCTAAAAATTAAAATATTAGAGTAATTATTAAAATAAGTAAATTTAAAAAGAAAAATTTTAATTAGAGCTATAGAAAATGGAAAAATTCAGAAAAATGTTTAAAACTGCCTTCAAGTAAACTAATTTTATAGATACATGGAAAATTCATTAGTGCGTATGACATTAGTATCAGTAAAATTCGAAATTAGTTGTGGTCAACATAATTGTTTGAGAAGCGCCCCTTTTGTTTATTCTTTTTTTCTAAAGTTGAACATTACTCCGTCTTTAATCTTACGAAATCTCCACTTCGGAAGAAGCTTTTTTGTAGACGTGACAGTTTTTGTATGACCACGTCATACAAGCTCGCTCCAAAATTTCCTTGAGAAAACTATTCACCATTAAAGTAGCATGATTAGAGTCTACTTCTAAAAATATAAATATTACATATTTATGCATGAAAATCTGATCCTTATATCAAGAAGCTATTCATGTATTCTAGTGTGAACCAAATATTATTATCAGCACCTTCTTCAGAATTAATTTCTCTACAGATGGTATGAATCAGTTGTATGACAAGAAAGAAAAGAAAACGTCACATCGAGAAATATCCAAGAAGCATGATCGTCTTAAAAAAAATTGCACTTGTTACTAATATGTAATTTTATCTCTCTATCATACCTTTTTTTAATATATAAAAGTCATATTATGCATATTTATCCCAAAACCAGTCAATGATTTCAAAAAAATTAAGTGAAAAATGCAAATGTAAACTTTAATTTTTTGCATTTTGATTAGGTAACCAAAACTTCCTTTCTCCTCAAAATTCAAGCTTAGAAATAATTTTTGTCAACAGATGGCACTGTTAAGAAAACATAAAATATTGTTTTTGAAATAACCACGATTTGCAGCAACTTGGTGCAGTTTGATAGCAAAATTAACTGACGTCAGTTCAAATATTTCAATTAGAGCTCCGCAATTTGATAAATTTAGTAATAAGTTTCTAAATTTGATGGAAATAACCACAAATTTTCTGAAGTAGAGAACACCATTAAAACTGAAGAAATTCAAAAACAGCGAAAAGTTTGTTCCTTTCCTGTGATGCAATTCATTACATAATTTCTGTGTCTTGTCTTTAAAATAGGTAGAACTCCGGATGGATCATTCCTCAAAAACAATTATTATCGACACTGCACGAAAATAAAATTAAATTGAGTAATATTAGGATTCAAAATCTCCTCAACTTATTTTGAAAATATTTTGAAGTCGAATTAAATAAAATGAATAATCGAATTCAAAGTTTCTTTAACTTCAAATAATTTCTGTACCAATGATATTGCATCAAAATTAACGTTACTAGATACATTTTTTAATTAAATTTTTGAAATATATACATTTCCCACATTTTATTTTTTTCATGATTTGCATGAAAATATGATATGCATTTCATTCTAGCTTTTATGGGTCAAATATCAACAAAAAATTGCTTTCACGATTCTTTCTGCATAAAACTTAAAGAAAAGAAATCAAAAACACATCTAAAGAGAAGAACAATGTCTGTATCAGTGCCTGTAAGTAATCATTTAAACACATTTTCATTTTATAAAACATACGTTTCATTTTATAAAATATACGTTGTTATAACATATATGTTTCGTAATAGCTATCTCTGTTGTTGAAGTTTAGAATCTCAGAAAACTTTGAAGTAAAAAGCCTATGTGTAATAAATAAATATTTAAATAAAAATATATTAAAACTATAACCAATCAATGTTCAGTTCATGAAGGACAAATGTGCTTAAATCATCAGGAATTATTGTTTAGGTGCACTGTTAAAATTTTCATTCTGAAATTATGGTAAAACAATCAGCAGCAGTCTACCTAAATAACTGCAAAATTTACGGTTAGAAACAATTCTTTATCTTTACGGATTTGAAACTGTTTCCAACTGATACAGTTGAAAACCGTGAATACAAAACTATACGGTTTTTTAACCACTTACCATTAGCAGGGTTTCAAAACGATAAAAATGAAATTTCAGTGGATATTGAAGTTAAGAAATGGTTGGGTTGGTTTTTTTTTAAGTGAACAGTGGAAAGTGGTTTCGTCCGCTTGTCTAATGGTGTCTTCTATCGTGACAGATGTTAACTACTAGACTTTTTTGTGTTAATCACCTCTTAGGTGCTGTCATCAATACGTAAATGAGAGTTTTTTTTATTCCAATAATCAATGTAAACCAATTGAAGAGTGACCAATTGAAGGACATTTAAAACTCGTCATGTGTTAAAATAATAGAGGACAGATTGTGGTGTCAACGCCGGGATTTGAACCCCCGTTTAGTCAGTCACGACATTGACAGATTAGCTCTCTCGTCTAAAGTATGTATACCCAGTTGCAAGAAACTATGTGACTTCATAAGGTGTTTATCACTCGTTTATTATTAAAAGATTATTAGGCATCCTCTATTGTGTTAGGCATCTGATGGTAGAAAATAAAAATAATTCGTAATTCTTTTTACGTGGATTAGTTTTCAGCTTTCTAAGAACGTGCACTCAATTTTCATTTACCGTGATCTTAATTGACGCAAAAAAAATTCTCGCTTCCTTTAAACGTATTAGATAAAATAATCGGGGCCGGGATAGCCTGGTTAGCAGGCTGTTGGACTCGCTTTCCTAAGGACAGAAGTTCGAATCTAGCACACCGAAGACACCCCGTGCAGTAAATGGTAACTGGTGCACGTTAGATCTGTCAGGTCACAAAGTCCTTCACGTTCTCATAACAAATCTATAATTCTAGGGGTGCTTAATTGGAGATAGATCTTTCTCCGGTTCAGGTCAAAATTGCGATCTGCAGTTGAATAAATGGATCTATGAATGGGTCCGCCCTATGAATGGGTCCGCCCTATAAACGGGTGTGACATATGGGTGTGACAGAAGTCGAATTCCTGGCCATAGATGGCGTTACTGGAAAACAAGAACAATCGCACCCTCTCTGTCTTATACCATACATTACCGCTGAACAGACAACCCAATTTTTGAGTTCACGACTACCGATGCTCAACTCTGTAGCCTTGTAATTTTAACCCAATCCAGAATACAAGGGAACTCAAGGAGTAAATATTGAGAGATGCTTACCTTCGTGGAGGACTTTTTTTTAATCTTAAACCGACTTTGTATTACATAGAAAGGAAAACCGCAAAAATCTCTCACGGCTAGCCTATCGATAATGGGGCTCTAGCCTACTAAACCATAATCCACTGAAGATATCCTACGTTTGCACTGTGGTCAGTACGAGCCAGGTGCAGAATTCGAATCTACCAAACATTCCTTTGATTCGAACCCGGTTCGCCTAAGCAGTCAATATATTTTTATCTCATAACCATCGTTGAACAGCTGACCCGAATTTGAGTTTGCTAATACCAATGTTCAACTCCATAGCCTTCTAATTTTGAACCCAATCCAGAAGACAAGGGAACTCCAGGATCAAGTATTGGCAGAAATTTTGCATTCGTTTAGGACTTTTCCTTGGAACTAACCCGCATTTGTATTATATCGAGAGGAAGCTTCCTCTGTTAACCTGACGACTAGGGGTCTCTTACCCGTGATCCATCTAGCACTGAGAATATTTTTGGCAGCACTGTGGTCGTTGCGAGCCATGTCAGGGATTCGAATCAACCAGCCATCGCTGGAATTCAAACCCGTTTCACCTCATTGAGATGCGAATGCTCTATCTCCTGAGCCACCGCTACTTTCACCAGTATATTTTTATTTCATAACCGTCCTTGAACAGCCAGTTCAAATTTTTGTGCTTACGACTGCTAATATTCATCTTCTTGTAATTTTAATTCAATCCAACAGACAATGAAACTTCTGGATCAAGTATTAGGGGAAAGTTGCCTTTGTGGAGGCCTTTTTGGTTGAACTGACTCGCATTTGAGTTACATGGTGAGGAAAACCAGGAAAATCCGGTCTCAGACTTTGTGGCGGGAGGAGTTCTTAGCTTAGACAAACTATACACGTACATTAGTTCTAGGTTATTGTTGTTGTCGTGGGCTATTAAGGCAATGGGTATTATTGTTCCTGTTCACCAGTGACGCCATCTATGGCCAAAAATTTGACACACTAATTCTTTATTTTATTATATAATTTTAACTTTCAGCAAATTACTAAATCTGTTTTATGATGTTACAGTAAATATAAAGACATAGTGGTCAAAAAAGTATTCAAAAATAAAAACCTCATTGAAATCAAATTCCATAACCGAAAGGATAAGGATAAATTGACATCATCCATTCAAAACAAAATTGATTTTCGAGATAAAGTTCAAATGAGTTCAATTTGAAGGGGAGGATATAGGTACCATAGTACAGCAAAACAGCTACTCATCGAACGACGAGAACGTTATAAAGTATCTTAAATCCATTCCACACAAAAAATGCACGGAAAAAAACGCATTGTAGTAAATGTATCGCATAGACTAGCTACCCATCTTCTGAAAATGAAAAATATCTTCATTGGTCTTAACAAGTGTATCATCAAGAAACGCATAGTTCTCAGACGGTGCCAGTGGTGTCAAGGCCTGGATCACCATACGAACCAGTGCACGGTTGATTCTGCAACCTGTGCAAAATGCGGCGGAAATCATCACACCCATGAATGCAATTGCGATGAGTGCTATTGCATTAACTGTTGGCTCTAGAACGCGTACAACGGTACCAACTACAACCCTGATCATTCAGCCTTCGTCTCAGACTGTCCGACATACCAACAAATACTACATTCGCTAAGAATGAAATTCATCGACAGCTAGATACATTTACATTATAAATGTTTTCCTACAAAATTTTGATCTTNACCAATGATATTGCAGTAAAATTATCGTCACTAGATATATTTTTTAATTAAATATTTGAAATATATACCTTTCCCACATTTCATTTTTTGCATGATTTGCATGAAAATATGATATGCATTTCATTCTAGCTTTTATGGGTCAAATATCAACAAAAAATTGCTTTCACGATTCTTTCTGCATAAAACTTAAAGAAAAGAAATCAAAAACGCATCCAAGGAGAAGAACAATGTCTGTATCAGTGCCTGTAAGTAATCATTTGAACACATTTTCATTATATAAAACATACGTTTCATTTTATAAAATATACGTTGTTTCAAAGTATAGGTTTCGTAATAACCATCTTTGATATAGAAGTTTAGAATCTCAGTAAACTTTGAAGTAAAAAGCCTATGTATAATAAATAAACATTTAAATAAAAAAATATTAAAACTATAACCAATCATTGTTCAGTTCATGAAGGACAAATGTGCTGAAATCATCAGGAATTATTGTGTAGGTACACTCTTAAAATTTTCATTCTGAAATTATGGTAACACAATCAGCAGCAGTCAGTCTACCCAAATAACTGTAAAATTTACGGATAGAAACAATTCTTTATCTTTACGGATTTGAAACCGTTTCCACTGATACGGTTGAAAACCGTGAATACAAAACTATACGGTTTTGTAACCATTTTCTATTAACAGGGATTCAAAACCATAAAAATTAAATTTCAGAGGATATTGAAGTTAAGAAATGGTTGGGTTGTGTTTTTTAAAGTGAACAGTGGAAAGTGGTTCTAAAGGTGTCTTCTATCGTGACAGATGTTAACTACTAGACTTTTTTGTGTTAATCACCTCTAAGGTGCTGTCATCAATACGTAAATGAGAGTTTCTTATATTCTAATAATCAATGTAAACCAATTGAAGAGTGATCAATTGAAGGACATTTGAAGCTCGTCATGTGTTAAAATAATAGAGGACAGATTGTGGTGCCAACGCTGGGATTTGAACCCCCGTTTAGCCAGCCACGAGATTGACAGATTAGCTCTCTCGTCTAAAGTATGTATACCCAGTTGCAAGAAACTAAGTGACTTCATAAGGTGTTTATCACTCGCTTATTATTAAAAGATTATTAGGCTAATCTGTCACTTGAAGGGAGAAATTGGTAGGTCTCTAAAGGGGATTCAAATTTCCTAAATCTATTTCAAAGACTCTGAATCATAATGCAATATTCATTGTAAAAATAATTACTACCACTTGGTGTACTATCACTTGAAGATGAAAATTGGCAGGTCTCTAAAGGTGATTCAAATTTACGAAATCTATTTTATCATAAAGTAATATTCATTGTATAAGGATTACGAGTGTTAAAAAGTATTGTTATTAATACAAATATTAAATTGATTATTTATGTAATGTTTTATGCTTTACAGAATGAAGATGGTGCAAGAATATCGCGAACAGCTCCTCACAGAAAGCCAGTTAAATTCTTTTATTTTGATGCAACAACATTAGTCGAAGCATTGGAAAGAGGTCGTAAATTATCAGGTAAACATTAAACAGGTTGTACCACAGATCTTGCTATTCATTTTTAGTATCTCAGGAAACATTTTAGGTTCAGTGCTCATATATAAATAGAAAAAAGCAGAATCACCATGAATAACTTTTGATTTAATGAAGGAATCTTTACGTACTATAGAACTCAATTTTAATGATTCGTGGAGGTGACCTCAAGCATATGGTCCTAATAGTTTGGTCAAGAAAGCGATTCCAAGTTTGAACGACTTAATGATAAAATTAATTTAAATTATGCATTTAATTAAAAAGTTTAAATAAGTTGCGTATTTAAATTATTACAAAACGTATTTAATTAAATGAAAGAAGTCGTATATTTGACATTCGATTTATCAGGATATTCGATTTTTCACTGATTTCGCTCAAATTTGTGTTTTTACAAACAAGAATATATTCTTTAAAATGATGTAAAAATTTATGTAACCCTTCGATTTTATATCATTAATAAATACTATACCTTCGATAAATTTATTTAAATTTTTCGACTATTATAATAGTGAGCAAAATTTTTCGATTCGCTTAAAAAAATTCTCAAAATATGGAAAAATACGCAAAAAGTAAAAGTAAAATTGACAGTGAAGGGTTCAAACGAACTCCAGGACAAACTGTTCGGACTTTATTTACCAGAATTAGGCTGCAACCTATATTTTGTTATTCAAAAAAAAAGTCCGTCAAAAAAGGTGTATTTATTCATAGAAAGTACGTTTTTGTATTTTATTTTGTAACTTAATATCGCCTGCAATAAATAGTTTACATATTTGAGGTCACCCCTTTGAATCATTGAGATTGAGTACTTGTGAAGATCCGATTACTCGATCAAAACTTATTCTGAGTTTCAAACTAGGATTCAATACTAGGATTCAAAACTAGGATTCAAAACTAGGATTCAAAACTAGGATTTACATAATTTGTAGCATACCACAAAAACAAATTCGTCAAAAATTACGATAAAAGTAAAACCAAAAGAGGAATAAATAATATTATTTAGATTAAAAAAATTTTCCTCTACCCGCCTTCATAATATTTACTACATTTGAGGTGTGTTTTTGTCAGCATAGAAGCTTAAGGAATTTATATACAACATAATGATGATAAAATAATGATGATAACATAATGATGATGATATAATAGTAAACGTAATGATAATAAGATAAAGAGTTGGTGAGTGTCTCTCTCTCTGTCTCCCTCTCTCTCTTAGAATTTCAGAAACGTAAATCGTTTGTGCTGAGATTTCATTTTTAAAAAAAAGAACTATTTGTATAAATAATACAATTAAGAATTCTTAGACCAAAGTACAAGATAGTTTAAAGGGAAGTGAAGCTGTTCTTATTATAATTAACTAATGCATAAAAATTTGAGGTGTTTATTACTGATAACTTATTTTGACAATTTTCCTTCTGAAATTCAATGTTTTAAACTATCAACTGTAGAAAATATATTAAATAAAAAAACTATAAGTTTAAATTCTTAAATTCTTTGTCTTAATTTCAATGACTGTAAGTTAGTACGTTTTTCGTTCAGAATAGCAAACATGGATGCTAAAGTAAATTATTCAAAACAATAATACTTATATGTTTGTTCTATATTTGTTTTTATAATTTGTTCATAATAATTTCTTCGATTTTTTAAGATAATATTGGATATTTTTTCTCATTTCCTGATCAGTAGGCTAAAAAACATTATCCTAACACCATACAGAAAACAAATGCAAAACAATAAAAAACACACGATCAACTCCCTATCAAAGCAAAAAATCTGTAAAACTGTTCAAAAAGTCACTAACTCAGGAGTAAAAGTAAGACAGAGAAGAGGAGAAACTAATAGTAAAACCATTCCAATTATAGCCGGTTATTCGATTAACCTTTTACGGGTAAAGAAAATAAAACACACAGTCCTCTCTTCTGTTCCTCTCTCTCTTTCTGCATATCTATATCTATCTATCTATCTCTCTCTCTCTATATATATATATATACACACATATACATACATACATAAATCTAGCGTATATAAAATGTGTCGCAAAATTCAGAATTTAAAAATTAATTAACTAAAAATTATTAGCACAATAATGCTTTATGGGGCTAAAAGTACAAAATCTAANTGTATGTATATATATGCATGTATGTATATATATATATATATATAATTTATTTATTATTACGATTACGAAATGCTTTAATATTAACATCCTGTCGTTTAATCACTTTTTAGTTCAAATATGCATTAATTAACATTTTAACGTTTATCCCTGTAACTAAACGTGAGAAAGCTTGATTTCCCAAGACCTATTCAACAAACCGATTTCAATTACTAAGATTTCTCTTATTCCCTGAAATGAAACATTCTACGGACTTATGTTGCAAGATTTTCCCAAACTTTCATTGAGGATCTCTTCAATTTTGTGTCAATTGAATTTTCATCCTCTAATCCTGTGCCTGTTTGTCCTGCTCACATGACTGCCATATATATATATACACTACCCTAACAATAATGGAAGGGACACTTTCAGTTTTCAATATTTTTTTTCTTTTTTTCAAGAAATACTTGGAAGATTATTTTGAAACTCTTGAGGTTAATTAGTTCATGCGAATTTTCATACTTAGCAATGAAGTTTAAAGCTTGAAGAAGTTCAGGAAAAGATTATTTTTATACACCCTATACCAGAAACTCAATAATAAACTTGTTACGTGTGCCGTTTACTTTCGCTGTTATTTGCAACATCTGCATAAAATGTCATAAACCTAACTTAAACATATATGAAGATATGAACATTTTTATAATAAATTAATGTTTTTGTCTTAGGTTGTTTTTTGATATAACTTTAAAAATATTGTAAAATTTAATAAAATTTTTGATACAGTTAAAAATTAATTACAAAATTATTGTTTTAGATTTTGAAAAAAAAATTGTTAAAAACTGCGTAAGATATGACTACTTAAAGTAATTCCTTTATTCTTTTCATACCCTGAACAATTTTCATAAAAACAAATTTCATAATTATAGTGTATCGTATTTCGAAACTAATTAAGAAAGTCTGATTTGAATATCTAAAAAATTTAAAGAGTTTCAAGCAATTTTCTTCGCAGTTTTGAACTTCTTTAAGGAAAAAAATAATCTCAAAATAAGAGATTTTTCACAAATTTCATTTTGTACTATAAGACAAAATTTAATAACAAATCAGAATTATAATAAATGTCCAGACACCAAAAAGTGATGGTGCAAAAAATGAAAATTTGCAAAAGGAAACATTCTTTAGTGAGGGATGCCCACAACGCCGGTGTCTGTTTTATTAAATATGATTTAATAGGACAAAATGAGATTTGAAGAAAACCCCTTATCATTTTGAGCTTCCTTTTAAAAAGAACAAAAACTGATTAGAAAAATTAGTTGAAACTCTTTAAATTTGTAAGATATTCAAATAAGACTTTTTTATTAGTTTCCAAATACGATTCACTAGAAAATTATGAAAAAGATATTTTTTTTAAATTTTATTTTTCCCGCGCAAGAGCAATATAAAGTCACTACTTCAAATAGTCATATCTTAAATTATTTTTAACGATTTTTTTTTCTCAAATTTTAAAACAATAATTTTGTAATTATTTTTTAATTTCTTATAAAAGGTTAGCTTAATTTTATTAAATATTTTTTTAAGTTATGGACCAAAAATATACGACAAAAAAATTAGTTTTTTATTAAATTTTTTATATCTCCATAAATATTTAAGCTGGATTTATTAAATTTTATTCAATTATTGCAAATAAAAACCAAAGTAATCTCTATAAGGTACAAGCTCCTAGCTTAATTCTCTGGCACAGGGTATTCAAAAATATTTATTTTCTTTCGTAATTTATTGCAGGTTTTTGAAACCTTTGAAAGGTTTAAATTTATTGAAAAATCGCATGAACTAATTACTTCTAATTTTGCAAAATGGTCTTTTAAGTATATTTTGAAAAAAAATTTAAAAAAAATTTCAAAAACTGAAAGTGTCTTCTTCTTTTGTGTATATATATGCATATTCTTTCAGCCCAACTTTACCTTTTCAATATATGGAAAATATGCAGTTCTTTGTTCTAAAAGCTGAACAGACAGGAAAACTGTTCAGCTTTCACTGCTGCATATCCAGTATCCGAATTCGATAAAAATAGGTATGAAGACAGAGACACATGGCAGTTGGATAGAATTTCTGCATAGTTATTCTCAAAGGGCATTTTCCCATGTTCTATAACTAATGTTAAATACTTCTTTGTCATAGGAGATGGTCACTGTGTTGGTTGGCGAAGTTCCCCTTCGGAATATTCTTGGCTAATTTACTCAGAAGTAAGTTTATCTATTGTCTTTTAATATGGCAAGGTCTGTTAACTGCTTTGCCCTGAAGTTTTATACCGAAATTTTTTATAGTTCAGAAATAGAAATGCAAGAAAATTCAAAATTGACGTAGGTACTGTATACTGATATATCAATGCTCTTTTTTTAAAATAATGTGTTCTCTTATATTTAAAAAAGTAGATGGTTATGGATGTTTCAATAGATGGTTATAGAAGTTTTTTTAATGAACAGCATAAAGCTAAACGCGATAGTTAACAGTAAAGGCAAAATTGACATAGGTACTGTATACCGAGTTATTTATTTTTCTTTACCATAATATGTTCTCATTTATTTGAAAAAGTAGACAGCTATGGATGGTAAAATATATGGTTATGGATGGTTAANGCGAAGTTCCCCTTCGGAATATTCTTGGCTAATTTACTCAGAAGTAAGTTTATCTATTGTCTTTTAATATGGCAAGGTCTGTTAACTGCTTTGCCCTGAAGTTTTATACCGAAATTTTTTATAGTTCAGAAATAGAAATGCAAGAAAATTCAAAATCGACGTAGGTACTGTATACTGATATATCAATGCTCTTTTTTTAAAATAATGTGCTCTCTTATATTTAAAAAAGTAGATGGTTATGGATGTTTCAATAGATGGTTATA